CACCAAAACTAAATCGTGACAATTTAGTTTCAGAGCGGGAGTAGACGAAACCCAGTCCTGCAGCATCACTTTGCACATACCCAATGTGGCTACTGCACTTGTGCGCTTTGCACGTCCTCCATACATTCGAACCGACAGACGATGTCATCGGCGTATTCTATATCGCACAGCTTTTCTCCAGCTGTCCATTCAATACCTACATTTTGGAATCCCATTAGTGCGCTCTCCAGTATTTCGCCTACGACTAATTGAACAGGAATGGCGAAAGAGGGCACGCTTGACGAACAGCCTACTTAGTTCGTTGTAGACCCTTACACGACCGGAGGTATGTGAGTATATCGACTCAGTAGGTTAAAGTATTTCTGGGGCATTCCTTTTTGAAGAAGGGGGCCTATCAGAGCTTCGCGGTCAACTAAGTCGAAGGTTTCTTTCAGGTCAAGAAACACTGCGATCGTTGGCCGACGGTGGGTATGACGCAGCTCAAGGAGCTGACGCAAAGTAAAATTCTGACCAAAACATCCACGGCCAGGCCGGACTCCGGCTTGCTGTTCACGGATGTTGGTCTCTCTTAAAGGCGTCAGACGTCGAAGTATAACCGAAGCTAGCGCTTTGGTGACGATCGGGATCAAACTTATTCCGCGGTTGTTTTCGCAATCATTGCGGGATCCCTTCTTGAAAATGGGAACGATCAGTGATTCGCTCCAAGATGAAGCAATGCACTCTTGCATCCAAATATTGCGCAGTATGGTAGTAATAGAGGTTCACCTCCTACCTTGAAAAGAGTGGGAGGGAGCTCATCCGGTCCTGCTGCCTTTCCTCGCTTCAGAGCATGAATGCAAGACCGAACTTCTGCTTCTATTAGAGGATCGCATGACACTGCCCACGGACCTTTAGTCGGAGACGAAGCAGCCTGGTTAGCACTAGGCCAGCTGAACTGTTCGCTGAAGTATTCTACCCAGCGATCGAGTAGTTGATCCTTATTGTGAATAGCTCGTCCCCTCTTATCGCAGACTGTTTCACTAACTGGAGTTCACCTACCTCCCGTATTGCGTATCAGTCGAAACAGCCTTTGACTATTCCCTGATGCAGCTGCTACTTCCATTTCACTAGCTATTGTTGCCCACCAGTTCTCACGGTCCTTCTTGAGGCTCTTCGGGAGCCGACGTTGCAGCTGCCACCTAACTCAGTTTTGATCTTGGCAGGTCGGGACTTGCTGTTTTTGCTCCATCAGGGCTCTGACTCCTGAGATATCCAATGCCTCCGACGGGTTTGAGGCTCAGACCCACAAGCAACATTCGCTGCAGAATGCATTGCTCCCTAATCTGATCCCGCTGCTCGTCTACATCACCACGCTGAGGTGCACTTAGCTTACGCACTAGCTCTGACTCATAGAGTGAATGAACTACTGGAACAGATAGTTGTTGATGAGCTATCCGAGCTTGCTGGTTTTGTCGCCGACCAGTCAGTCGGAGAGTGAACTGCATCTTAACTAACGCATGATCAAACTCAACGCAGGTGGTTCAATAGGACCTGTAATTTTGCACTCAGCCACGCCAACGTAACTTACTGCGATGTGGTCGATTTGAGTTAGCGTACCAGTTGAACTGGAGCGCCACGTTACCTGGTCGATTTGAGTTAGCGTACCAGTTGAACTGGAGCGCCACGTTGCCATCCGTCGAGAGTTGTGTTGGAAGTTGGCGCTTGATTGGAACAGATGATGGTCTACGAAGAACTGAAGAAGTCGATCGCTGTTTG